TCGGAATAATTTTTGTGTTATTTAGTTTTTGATGTCTAAAGTCCAATTACGTATAATCACGATAATAAATGAGTACTTATGTTAGGAACAATAAAAATTCTCTTGTGATCGTGACATGACGTTTCAGACACTTTTTCTTTAGTGGATTTGATGTAAATATGTTAAAGATTACGAATCTTAAAACCTCTACCGGTATCGACAAAATAGAATAAAGACTCGAAAAATATACAATATTGAGACAGAATGATACAAGAAGCAATAAGATTTGTCAGATAATGACTAGTAAGTGTACGGAACGGTAAATACAACATCGGACATTGGAAAAGTAATATATAACACACAAGGAAAAAAGCTGAAACCCTTACTTCACAACCAGAAAAGAACTTTGGTATTAATTTGCTACCCCTGTTGTTGATTATAATTTGATGTTTTCCTGCCGAGAGGTATTAGATGCCCGTTTCGGGACAAAACAGGTTTTTCGACTCTGTGTTTTGGTGACTGACGGATGGTGTCACTTCCTTTGACATGGCGACAAGAGCAATCGAAAAAAAGTAAAAGTATTAAACCGTCCCCTTTAGTTGTTCCTACGTCTCAAATATCTCATACATGCCATAAATTATGTTATAGCAATATTTCAGCGAAGCTTTTCCAGTTTCACTGTTATTGCATTGGTCCGATAGACAATCCGATACAATCGGAAACGTCCATAGTTAAACCTCATATATCTCCATCATCATCACACGTAATAAACACCGCACCTTTTGATGTAGATAAGTTCCGCACAGTTAAAAACTAATGTGGATCTTTTGACAGTGACGACAAAACATTCAAACAACGATTGACACGATATTCCCAGGACAAAACATTCCGTACCAGATCATGCGTTAACGGCGTGACCGTGTTAATGTACCTGAAGTTATTTACCATAACAAAGGTTATGAAAAACAAATATATTTATCTTTTACATCACCAAACGCATGGAAAAAATTTTGTTTTAGTTGTGTTCCGTGCACCTTATTTTGTGTGTATCTGTTCCAAGTAAATATGTGTACCCTTTGTCAAAGTAACTTTCAAGTAGTCCTTCTATAAGAACCGACTAAAGAAGTGATAAAGGTGACATAAATCGACTCAGTTCCCAAAAACCCCTACGTTTGATTAAATCGACGTTAACTGGTGCTAGGATCTTTCAGAAAAGATCTAGATGTAAAAATTTCTTTGTAATGGTCCGTCCTGCACTTTTCAATTTTGGAGATTTATAATCAAACATAAGATCAAGTTTTGTTGTGTTATTTCGTTCGGGTTAGTTCCACAACTAACTTATGAACACATGGTAACACCTGATTTTGGTATAAGAGAGAAAGTAATTACATTGACTATTACACACGAGAAATCAGGAAGACCAAACAATAACTAGTAATATTAAATATACAAGACGGACATCCTCCCACCTAGACCGAATGCACCCTGCTCTTGAATGAGCGACGACTTTTGGTTCCAGTACTCCAGTGTTCACTATAGAGCGGGGTCGGACCGGGACCCTTTTATGGTACCCATACTAAACAATCAGTTAAGTCTTTAACAGTCAGTCTTGTCATCCCCGGTTAAAGTAAAGAAGCAATAGCACTCCTTTTTAGCAGAGACATCTTTAACAACATATACTGCACCAGGACCGGAAGTTGCCTGTTTCCAAACACGTGGTTTTGATAAGCAGATAAATAGAGCCTCGGCTTCGTTAACAACTTCTCTTCCTTGCTGCTGTGAAGCAGTCAGGACGTGTTGAGGCTGGGAGACAAGAACAACATGCGTGAAGCTTCAACAAAGGTATTTATTCATATTTGGTCTGATATTAGTTTGTTTATGTCGCAGTTGAGGTGTTTTATGTACCTGCTTGTCGCTGTTTGCTGCGGTTATTTCCGCATAGATGGTGTGTTAGCACTGTGGCTTCAGAGGACCGCATGGTCTGTGACAACGAGCCGAGGAGGCCTTTTATTCCAGAGTAGCTGATATTTGAAATTGGATAAAAACATCTTTACTAGTTGCCTTATTACCTATAACATGATATTATTTCATTTTTGTAATGGTATGTTTTGTTATTAGCCACTTGTGTGGACCATGAAGAGCTCTGTGGTTGAGAAATCTGCACTGTATTTAAAGTTTACTAGAATTACATTAATTATTTTACTAGTGCAATTGGCAGACCTTCAAATGTCACTTTTTCGAGATATTGTGCACTCAATGGACGGTTTACACCTTGCTGTAACAGTCCTTCAATGTAGCTTATATTTTGTTCTAACTTTTTTTAAAGATATTTCATGCTTAACGTTGAAATTATGTGTTGAGATATGTTTCTAATAGTCTGAACTAACGTTAGGCTTTCTGTATAAGGCAATGCTTATTAGCGGCACCACCCACAAACTAGATCCTCCAGATAAAAACTGAACGTTACACTCGCGTTGAACTGCATGTGCAACATGACAAATAAGTTGTAGACAACTAGAAAAATGAACCATGCAAACTTAAACAGTTGCTATGCATCCCAGTCAAACCTTAATGATGATTTGCATGTGAGTCCGTGTTTCACCTGAAACTCATGATTATTATTTCACTGCGCTGATGGGTTTGACAAAACAGAACCGAGTGAGGATGTTTTATTGTATTGCAAACTGAGACTAATCTGTCATTTCTTTTTTCTTTGTTAAAGGATTTACGAACCAGGACTAAAGGAATCTTGCTAAGGTCAGTATCCGTCTTGTTGGATAATAGATATATCTGCACTTTACCACGTGTGGTTGCACACTCTGCTGTCATTTTACTTAATCCATAGAGGCCTAAGTAATGCTTTAGATAAGGATGCACCAATGAGGCATTTTCTGACTTGCCCTAACTTTGTTGAACACAATGTTGAAGGGGTTCACAAATGGTTTAATTAAATTGTGGATAAGAAAGCAATTTGTGCTTTTTACCTGAAGTACATCTGTGTGGATTAAGATGACACATTTCTGTATAAAAGCTTTGGTTCTGCATCATACCGTCAAACCTTAATGATGATTTGCATGTGAGTCCGTGTTTCACCTGATACTCATGATTATTATTTCACTGCGCTGATGGGTTTGACGATGCAGGAACTAGAGAGGATGTTTCATTGAATTGCAAACTGAGACTTATCTCTTGTGGTTTTCATTTATTGTTCTTAGGATTGAAGAGCCTGGAATGGATGCATCTTGATAAGGTTGGTATAGAAGAAGTTGATGTCTACAGCCCTGCAGTAATTAAACTTTTACTGCATGTACTTTCATTTTGTAGACTCATTTGTGATGTGTATGTGCCCTTATTAATATTCATTTGGATATGTCATATATTAGTTTAAGGGCAAATTGAAATTAGAGCATGTAAAGTCTTTTTATAATCTCAAACTGTTTAGACCACATCCATACTTAAAATGTTGTGTACTGTATGTATGAACTGGTAAATAAAGTTAAATCTGTTATTTAAACTCTGTATTGTCATCTTTATTTGCCTTTTTTTTAATGGAGATTATCTGCAGCTTGGTTTGAGGTATTAGTCAAAGGAAATAAACAATGAGACGTTGTTGAATGAATGGTGAACTGTTTACGACCCATCAATAAACGGTTGAGGAATCTTTGTAAAAGACTCAAAGCCGATAACATTATTTTAATTTGTAGCTGGGTATTTGAAGACTTTCAGGTTTACTCAAAGTGGATCGGAGTATGGATAGAGATGTGGGTATGTTTAATGTTTTATTTGATAAAAAAAAATTGGTATGTTAAACCTACAGTGCAATAAAACTGTGCGTTACTTGAAAAATACTACAAAAGATTATCATGATAAAAATTACACAAGTGAACGAAACAATTCACTAACATGCACGATCCTTTGACAAACCTTTTACATGGCAGTGTTAAACGGGAAGCGGCGGTCTACTCTCAGACATGATTGACAATTTCTCCTAAACTACAGGGAAGTGATGGCCCAACACGTAAAGAAGCTTGCTTGTATACCAGCAGGATACATAGGGGTATGGAAAGTGAAAAGCAGCACAATTATCTGCAACACAATGTCAAAGTATTTGCATTTCTGAAATACAGGAAAAACTATTTCAAGTCCTGTCTTGACACCAATGACTTCCAGTCAAAATTTGAACACAGTTTATCTACAACAAAAATAGTTGACAGCTCTCAGCCAGTGTTTCTAGTTTGACTAAAGCTGCTTAAACCAATATCTACACACTTGTATTTACATAGTTTCTCTTAAAGGGGAGCGATCATTCAAGCTCTCCCGTTATGTAAAGTTCCCGAGTCGTTCGCAGAGTCCACAGTACTGAGTCCCAGGGTGTCTTTGGCCTTTTTAGCTCCCGTTTGGTCCAACGCTGTGCCCTCAAAGAGCCGAGCCATGAAGGCAAAGCCGTTCTTCTTGATGTACGACTTCCCTGCGAAGGTGTAGAGGACGGGGTTGGCACAGCTGCTGATGAAGGCCAGAGCCGAAGTCACTGCACGGCTGGACCGAGTGATGTTGTCCAATCTGCGGATAAACAACATTTTAGACTACTACTTATGTCAAATGTTCAAGCTTGGTAGCATCCCTGAGAGCTTTACAAAAACATCTAACTCAGTGGTGTCCAAACTTTTTTCACCGAGGGCCACATACAGAAAAATATTCAAAGGGCTGGGCCGCTCACTAGAGGTGAGGTTTATTGCCTCATAAGTTAGCAAAATCAATCAAAAGTAGGTACCTTATGCTTGATACTTGAATCTGCTTTAAGAAAAATAAACTGCCTAAATCCCAGCTCCAGATTGATAATCAAAATTAAGGAATTGGAAAGGCATTTCAAGTTTATGTATAGAAATTATTGGGCTTTTTTCTTTTCGACTTAGATTTGTTGGAACATATTTTCAAATGTAATACAGAGATATTTCATAAGTACAAGAAAAGCTCAAGTTTTATTTGTGGGCCGTATTCCATTAAATCTTTTGAACCATTCAAAATGTCCCGCGGACCTGCTCTAACTCATGAAGAACTACAAGTATGTACATGAATGGATACTGAACAGGCCCACTGAGGGGTCAGTATGTCCCCTGGGCTTCATCTGCAAAATGTCACTGAAAGAGACACAAAGCAACCACTGACAGACGCTGTATGAATACAGAGACATGCAAAACAACCTGTGAAGAAACACAGCTATGAAATACAATTGGCTGCAATGATGCACAAATCAACTTAAGAGACAACAGCTACCAGAAATGATATAAATAGCCTTGAAAAACAGTTATCAGGTCAAGATTAATATTTGTCTAATGATTGCTTTGTATTGCCTCAGCTGTCAACGTTTTTATGACATTTTATATAAAAACTGCATTTATACCGTAGGAAATAATAGATATGTTTTCGCAGCTATATAAGAGATAATTTGACTCTTAAATGTCTCATACTATTTTATTGAGCATCTTAGACCAGTTTATTTGACTTAATCTGTTGAAGATCAGAATGAAAAACTCCAAAGTACCAAAATCATTGTCTTTGAAATAATATATTTATAATATAATCTTTTGTAACTCACTTTTTTCTTATGGGTGATTCAGGATCGTACCACTGAGCTGCCACCTTGAATAGAACAAAACACAGTCAGTTTTCATTGAAAAATATCATTGATCTGAAATCAGAAATGCTTGTCACACACCTGTATCATGTTGATGACGTGGTACGGCAGCCAGAAGAGGCCAAACATCACCACGATGGCCAGGATGAGTTTCTCGCTGCGGACCGTTCTGCGAAACTTGGTCTGTCGGAGGCGTCTCAGGATGAGGACGTAGCACGTGATGATGACCGCGTACGGCAAGATAAACCCCAACACCGTCTCAAAGGCATACTGAAACCTTTCCTGCACAGGACGAAACAAAACAGATGTTCTCATTGCAATAACAGAATGTGTTTCTACAGACAGGACTGGATCTATCCAAACTAGAGAAGTATACTGTTTATTTATTTAATCTGTATAGAACATACTTGTATCTTTTTGAAGTTTTGGTTCATGAAGAAATAAATCAATCACTTGTAGTTTCTGGGTTGGATTGACATTTTCTACTTAAATATGAATGTGCATTTAGATGTTTACATACAAACATCTTATACCATTTGAAGTGTTTTGAATCAAACTACCCAACAGTTTTTTTTAAATCCGCAGAACTGATAAGTCCGTTAATAAGTTAATGATTTAACAGAACATTCAATAATTTCAGATTTGTTGCTTTTTACTCGAGTAATTTAATGAATTGTTCATCTACTGCTACAATTCAAGTTAATTGTTAGTCTATTTTTTACATACAAAACCACATTTTATGCGTATATGAAATGTTGCAGAACTTTATTAATAATTATAAATGAAATGTCAACTATGAAAATATAATACTGTCAGCGTCATTCTGCTCAATATTCAAATTCATTTAATACTTTAGGTAGCCTACATTAAAGAGGCCTAGCTTTTTTGGGTTTATCCTTTTCTGTAGTGTGTTATATAGGTTTTTAACATAGTGACATCATTATGCTACATTCGTGCTTCTATTGGCTAGCGCTCCAACACATTGTACGTGATAGGCTAAGGGGCGGGACAAGTGATTGACCAATAAACCTAAAAGGGCTCCTTTAAAGTGCCTGTGACACGATTTTGGCCCATCATCCAAACCCATCAATTTGAGTAAATATTGTCCCCTTGAAAACTGTTACTGAACTGATTTTGGATATTTGTACTTTGATAACCATTAATCTGCCCTTCAATGTTGACAATTTCCTGGATCTTGTCGGAGATTCTTCAACTCCCGCCAAATTATGGGTGACGTCAATGCGGGCACAGCGCTCCAGCTGCACCGTTCAGGATCCCAGCATCTGCATGTAAACGCACGATGGCGGACACAGCAGCAAGCTCAGACAGCGATGACAGTTTAATTTTGAACGTGTCTGAGAGCTCATATGAGGCTGAAGGATCGGTTTATTTTGTATCTGTTAGAAGTTTAGGAATTAGGTGCGTCAATATGGGCGATCATACGGTCATGTAGCCAGTGGTGGACTGGGAC